GAAGGGAGGGCTGGGAATGGGGAAAAAATAAGAACCAAGATGCATCACGTAAAGGTACAAGTTCCCAATGAGAAATGTAAATGTATTGTATACCTGAAATATACCAATAAAAGAATTTTTTTTAAAAAGTACCTAAACAGATATTAGAATATGTTCTTGTACTCACACGTGGTTGATACTCATAGGGTGGAGCATAATCTTCTTTGTATGTTGTCAAATCATACCTGAAAGAGATAAGTCAATATTTGAGAAAAAATGATTCAGTGGTATATGTTATAGGGAATAACATTCCTGGAAGGACTGGTCTTAGGAAAATGTTTGAAATCCACAGCTGTCCCAGTGTGTTTATGATTTTACCCACCACCGTAAAGTACCCCCCCTTCAAATTACTTCTAGGTCAGCACTACCTACTACTGCTCTGCACTAATGATGTCTGTGGCTATCAAGTTCCAAGCCCCTGAGCTCAGGTGCTCTGCATTCCACCAAGTCTTTCTACCACCTTCCCTTGACTCTACTCTTTTTGACCCCATAACTCCCCTTCTCTGCTGGGTTACAGAAGAGATAATAGAAGAGATAACAGAAGAGATAATAGAAGACAGCTAGGTAGGCTGAGATCATGAAGCATCCCTAGCCATCACCCCATTAAACCCACAGAAATGCTGCATTAAACCCTACACAAGTGTACAAGCCTAGCCAAGCTCAAAGGGAAACCCTGAGCTTTAAAAATGAAAAGGACACGCACTACAATGGGAAACCATAAAAGCTGATGCCTCAAGCCTAGAAGTGGAGTTGTAACTGCACGTCAAGGGCAACAGAAGTGGCCTTAGGTTCACAGGAGGCAAAGAGCTAAAGTCTAATTTACAATGAAGAGTCTAAAAGACTGTACTTTTGAGACCAGAGAAAGCCCAACTACCAGCACAAAGAAACTTGCACAAAAATTTCTTTGTTTGGAATGTAGTGTAAGACAAAAACTATTCTCCAATGAAAAATGAAAACACCACTTCTATTCTTGTCAATATTCTAGGAGTAGATGGTCAAAGACACCATCTAGTTTCTTAGAGAATTCAACACAAATCTCAAAATAATAACAAAGTAGATGAGCTACATATAGATTGCTCGTATTTAAACTGGTGGTAACCAACTATTTCTGCTGGGTCTCAAGGCGTGGTTCTCAGGGTCACAGCAGAATCTGGGAATTTAATAAAAATGCAACTACAATCATCCCTGGGTATTAAAGGAGGACTTGTTTCAGGTGCCCTGAAGATACCAAAGTCTGTGGATGCTCCAGTCCTTTGTGTAAAATGGCGTATTTGAATATAACCTGTGCACAACCTCCCACACACTGTAAATCATCTCTAAATTATTTCTAAGACCTAATATAATGTAAATGCTAGGTAAATTGTTCTTCTAGTGTATTGATTAGGGAGCCATGACAAGAAAAAAATCTGTATATATTCAGTATAAACATAATTGTTTCAATATTTCAAAAAATGTTTCAACTATGGTTGAATGAATCTGTGCATGTGAAACATTTGGATATGAGGGCCAACTGTACTTGGGTCTTACCCTAAACCTACTGAATTAGAAAATCTGTAGGTGGAATCACAAAAATCTGTAGTTCAACAATCTTCCCAGGAGTTTCCAATGCACACTAAATTTTGAGTACAGATGACCTAAAGAACAGAAATTGGAAGCATAACTTTCAAACCAGCAAATAAGGGGGTAAGAGATAGATACTGGGAGAGATACCAATCTAATAAGAAAAAGGAAAAGAGGTTAAAATGTATAGGGAAAGTGATTTCTGATCATAAGATAAATTAAAATCATAAAATAAAATTAAGTACCTCAGTAATCACAATGAAAATAAATAGGTTACACTCATCAGTGAAAACATTTTGTCACACAAAAAATGAAAATCAAGCTGTGTTTTTAAATCTCAACTATGTGATTTAATATCTAAAATAAACATACTTTCAAAGTTTGAAAGTAAAAGTATATGAATATTGTGTATATAGCAAATATTAACCAAGAAAAAATTTTATATTAATAACATATAAAGGACTTAGACAAAAATGACTAGTTATAAAGATCATGGGGCTGGGGATTTAGCTCAGTGGTTTTGCCTCCTGCTGCGCAAATGCAAGGACCCAAGTTCGATCCCCAGTACCAAAAAATAAATAAAATGAAATAAAGATCATTACTCACTGAACAAAGGAACAAGTCACCGAGAAGATATATAACAATCCTAAGTCAATAACCTAACAATATATATAAGGCAGAAGGAGACAGAATCACAAAGACAAAATGCCAAATCTATAGTCATAGAGGAAGAGTATAACCCATTCCTTAGCCCTTTGGTTCCTTAAATCCAAATCTCTATATAGGTCTGTTTTCCTAAACCACACACGTCAACAACAAAACATTATATGCAAAGCACAATGGAGAACAGAAAATATTAGTGGTAAATAGGATTCATTCATGCTTAATTCCATGTCACTAAGCTAAAATTAATTTATTCCCAAGAAATCAGGAGGGAGGGAGAGGGAGAGAGGGAGAGAGCGAGAGAGGAGATCCCCATAAAAGCCAGGTTTACTCCCCTATGGCTTAATCTTCACAAGGAAAATAACTTTGAAACAACAGCTTTTTGTTCTGTTTCTGCTTTCTTTAGCTTTCTCTGCCTATAAAACCAAAATTTTCTGCTCAGCTCATCAGAACACTCATTTTATTTTATAGGATGAGATGTTGCTTAATTCTAAAGTATAAATAAAGGCCAATTTGAATCTTTAAATATGCTGTAATTTTGTCTTTTGACATCACGAACTTCACTTTACATATAGGCAAGTAGAACAGTCCAGTCAGTAGAGCCAGAAGAATGCCTGTGCTGGAACTGAATGAGGCAAAGATGTTGTGGAGGAGAGGAAAAGGTGCCTAGGGAGGATGGGACAGAGAGGACATCACCTCCAAAAAGAAGTGTCCTTCCTTGAAGGGGGGTGGTACTGAGGATGGGCTTGAGATAAGAGCATGTGAGCCACGGTTTTCCAAGTATGAAGGTCCAGAATGGCAGTAGTGGATGGTAATGCTTCTGGGAAAGAGAAGAGTGACTAGGAAGATTAAAAAAGTTAAGAAGAAAACCACCAGAAATTAAAGATCATAAAACTATAAGATATTATCACATTATCAGTAGACCTCCCTCTCACTTCTCACCACCATCAACAGGTGTCATTAATAAAACTTTAGTGTTCTAACAGAAGAGGGCACTCTTGAACTGAAATACTGAGCAAACTTCCCCAACTTCTCATTTCCCTGAGGTAGAATTCCCTGTGATTATTTATATGGTGGAGGAAAAGCCAACATACTTAATAAATAGAAAAGGGTAACATTACTATGAGAAAAACACAATAAATGAGAAACAAAAAATTAACCCCATGAAAATTTTCCCCAGAAATAGTCCCAACCAGTGAGTGACAGAAGACCTCCATCAGCCTATTGTACTGCAGAGCCTAGAAAATGCAATTTTAAAAAAGAAAAAAGGAAAGAAGTATCATAATTGGAATGAAAGAAGAAACATTTTCCTCTTCCATAGGTGAAAAGATTGCCTAAATTATTTAAATCCAAGAGAATCTATAAATTGTAACAACAAGCTAGTTCAACAAGGTTGTTGGATACAAGACGATTATACAAAATAGCATACTCATACCAGCAGTAAGAAATTAGAAAGCATAATTAAAGTGGAAATTTTTCATTTATCATTATAACAATATCTTTAAGTTTCCTGTAAGAATACATACAAAAGAAGATATGCAAGACATTTATACAGGAAAAATTACAAAATTTGTTGGACATAAAATAATTCCTTTATTTATGGATGAGATGGTTCAATATAATGATGGCAATTATTCCATCTAGTAAATTTAACTCACTGTCAATCCAAACACAAACAGTCCAATTGACAAACAATCCTAACAGTTATAGGACTCCATAAAATGCCACAGAGAGTAGAGATAACTCTGAAAAAGAATAAAATGGTTAAACTTATGCTACAAGATGTCAAGGCTTAATACAAAGCCAGAGTAATTGTTGTATCAGTCCAGGAATATACAAATAGACCAGTAAAATAGAATATAGAGCTCAGAAATAAACCTACTTAAGTGTAAGAATTTGGTACAACATAAAAATAGCTTCATAAATTAGTTGGGAAATATCAGTTGGATCAAATGCTGCTGATTTGCTAGTCTAATAAAAGTATACATATTTACTCCATATATTATATGTTTTTCACATATATAAATGTTCTAAAAGGTTTACAGTTTGACTTCATATATAGATCTTGACTAAATTATAATTTAAAATGTCTCTTCATCAAAAGACACAATCAGTAAAGTCACAAGAAAAGTCATAGACTGGAGAAAGATACTCATTAAATACCTTACCAAAACAGATTTAGTACCCATAATTAATTTTGTAAAACTGCAAGTCTATAAGAGATGAAATCCCAAAAGAAAAATTGACAGACTAAAAACAGTCACTTTCACAGTTGAAGAAACCAGAATGGCTAATTAATACTTGAAAACATATTCAGTCTTAAAATTCAGTTGTAAACCAGTAATTAGTGAAATGCAAAACAAAACAGAAATGAAGTGCCATTTCACATCCATTAGATTGGTAATTTTAAATCTTCACAATTTTACAAAGATATTAAGAAGTGTGTTATTCATATGCTATTAGAGGAAGTATCTTGCAAAACCAAAAGTGAACATCATATGTCTTATAACCCAGCAATATTGTCTACCTAGGGAAGAGGTGTCATGGCTCATAAATAGATCTATTTCTGGAAGCAGAGCTGGGATACATCAATGTCTATGCACCAAATGGATTCATGGGCAGTCCAGAACAATAAGTTAGTATATCTGGAAGCCCCAGGACCAAGCCTATGCTAGGTGCCTCTGTTCTGCCACTCCCATTCTTGTTAATAGCTGGTAGGTCCAAATATCAGCCTCGACCAACAAATGGTTAGGGATCGCCTTTACAGTGTCCCTTTTTTGATAGAAACAGGAAAGGGCCAGTCACTTGTCTATGAAAGGAACCAAGGGATGTAATGTTCCCTCCATGTGGAAGAAGCTGATCCTCAGAGCAAGTGTATGTAGCCAACAGGAAGAGAATCTGGACAGTTTTCTAGCCCTGATTCCGGTTAACTCTGAAGTCAAGCTCCACCATAGACTTTATG